TCGCGTGGAAAGTTTAACGTTTCTAAACAGGGAAAGGTGTAGAATAGTACTTAATATCATACATGTATTATATATCATATGTTAATTTTAAAACTATGATTGTTAATCACTTTTTAACGAAGGACGAGCGACTGCTAAAACCTGTTGGAGGTTACTCAGGGTCGTATCCTTGACAACATATGTCAAGGTCAAAGTCATCGGTGAGGTGTCCCCTAATCTAAATAATTACCATTTGATTATAGAATATATTATATTATAAGGATTATATTATATTATAAAAATATTTTTAATATATATTACATTATAAAAATTTATATAATTCTTTTTAGATGAATTTAGTGGAATATATTCTGGTGGTCTTTAATTTATTAGATCAAACGAACTTACCAAGTGAAGTTCGATCATAATTATGCAATGTTGTGCAGGTTACAAGTTGTGCTAGGTACAAGTACCTATGTACTGTAAACTAGGTACAAATTTGCATACCTAGGAACTGTACCGAGTACTTTCTTTTTCTGGTACCTATACCTATACCTAGGTATCATTTCTTGTGTACCGGTACCTATATTTAGGTACACTTCAGTTATTTTTCAAATCCACAATTGCTTAACTGAAAACTCATCATACAAGATCTGAGTGTGTAAATTTATTAGAATGATCTAAATTAGAATGAAAGTTTAAATATTTATAATTTTTTAAATGTTACCATTCTAATAAATTTATTTACACATTCAGATACTGTGTTAATAAGTAACATTTTAATAATAGCGGGGTACTAAAGTATCACATTTTTATAGTAAGTAAATGTGTATCTTATTATTACATTCATGTATCATATGTCAATATGTGCATGTCAATTCTGATAAAACTAAAATGGTTTTATAAATTAAACTTGCATAGAATATTTATGTATGTAAACATAAGATATATGTATAATAACTTAATAATTAAATATTACGTGCAGATACATGAAATATATAGATCATATTTAACAAATAAGCTGTCGAAATTGCATTTTGTCGTCAAAATACAATTTATCCTGAGCTTTCATGTTAAAAATAAAAGTACCTATAAGATACTTTTAAGATACATTTAAAATACCTGTACCTGTACCTAGGTATATTATTTTTTTAATACCTGTACCTGTACCTAGGTATTGAAAATAGAGTACCTTGCACAACACTTTATGCCGATGGGTCTCGTCCGGATGGAAAACTAATTGTAGTTCAGCCAACAGAATTCAAAATCTAGGGGAAAAGAAAATAGTACATATTGTGTAACAAGTGTGTATTAGTTGTTTATTGTGCGACGCGGGTGCTAGCGCGCGCCCGTGCCGCGCTATAAACAATTATAGCACATGAGTTGCACATAGATTTTTTCATTACGACTCACGAGTGCACTGTGTTAGTAATATGTTATACAATTATAAAGTCGCACGAGCGAAGCGAGTGCGAATATAAAGTCGCACGAGCAAAGTGAGCGTGAATGTAAAGTCGCACGAGCGAAGCGAGTGCGACTTATAGGATGGTGCGTGAGGCGCAGGAAGCAGAGGGGGTTCAGGGGGGGCTGCGCCCCCCCGAAAAGAAATTTAAATAATATTTCGCAAATAAATATTAAACAACTTACATACTGTATTGTCGTTTTGTCGTAGTTACTTTTATTATTAGAGAAAACTATGCTTACCCTCCCCAGATGCCCCGAAAGGACGCTCCGGTCGTCGCGTTTCTCCGTGTTGATATTTGTACGAGCGCTACCACTGCGTTGCGTTATTTTTCATAATGTAACGCTTTTGCGTGGGGTTAGAGAAATAACTCAACGGCTTGAGGTATTGGCTATTTACCGCACGCAAAAGCGTTGCATATTGACCGATATTCTAATTTTTAATATTACATATCAAAAGCGGCTAAGTACTTTTATTGTATTCTTTTTTAGTAGTTTTGATGTATATACATATATTTAAATTTATATTATTTTTTTAATGTTACAATCGCTTTCTTGTTTACTCATGAATTGACTCTTATTGTCCTTCGTCTTGTTTAATTATTATTAATAAATGTATTAAAAATAGAATGTCCGATATAGAAAATCTATGAAAATCTATGTTGTAGAATGTCGATTGTTGACTGATTCTATGTTATAGAAATTATTAAGATACTAGAAATTATTAAGATACTTCAACTCGATCAAAACGTGAAATGATTTATATGACTGATTATTTTTAATGCATGACATGTCTTGAATAATTATAAATATACTATATATGCAACATATTAAAAGTATTTTCTGTTATTATTTATATTATGTTTTGTGTTATATTGCAATGCACTATATTATAAAAAGGTTGCCATGACCTTATGGAGTTGAGAGAAAAAATAAAAAAACATTAAAAGAAAGATTCAGCTTAACACTTTAGGACCTTTATTTCTAATTTGTTGTATATTCACACATACACATTATGATCTTAAAAGATTATTTATTCCATATTATTTATACATGCAGTCTTTACAAATGCATATTCTCTATACATGTTGGTTATTCCAAGAAACATTACTACAACCTCGGTGGTATAATTATGAGGACACTCGCTCAGAGAACGAGAAATATGGGTTCGAAGCCTGAGGTAATAATATATTTTGCATTAAAATTGTTTGCACGTTTCATGTTTAGCATATTATTAATGTCTTCTAACATGTCTGTAAGCACCAATACCATTAAATTGTTTCAGTATGTGATATTACTGCTCTAGTTATACATAGAATTGCGTTTCAAGATAAAAAAATTAAATTTGAAGCAGTTTATAGAATATGTTGTATTTGTATTAATTCACACAAAATTATTATAATAATAAGTGCTAAAAATCAAGTTTGACTGTTTAGAATTTTTATTTCCAATCTGTTGTGTGTGTATTCATATTGCGATTTTAAAATATTGTATTACACAAAAAAAGTTAAAAAGATTATTATGTATTTAAATTAATATTACACACATTCTTCCTTTTAATATCAGTTATGAAATTATAAGCACACTAGTAAACATAAATGTTTTGCAATCAGTAACGTTTTTGCACCCGCAATACTGCTATAAGCAATTATTAAAAAAGTTTAATAAAAAGTTTATAATCAATAATTAAACACTGTTATTGAAAATAATGCTCAATTAACATATAACGAGCAAACAGAGATTATAAAAGCGAGTATTAGCTATTAGCAAGCATTTAATAAAACTTCAGTTTATATATCGTAATACCTATTTTTATTATTATTAAATAGCATTTAATAAAACTTCAGTTTATTCGTAATACTATTTTTAGTAATAAAAACATATGTAATAATATGGTACTTTTAAGATAGTTTAAAAATAAAAAACGAATATATATTTTACGGAAATAAAAAAAATTGTTATCAATTTTTCCGTGTACTTTGGGCACATTTTCAATTAAAATAAAAGGAACATTAAAGCTTAAATGAAAAAAAAAATTTTACTATACCTTTTACTTAGTAAACACATATAGGATATCAAGGTTAATTAATATAATTTGATCCTATATAGTAAGTAATATTAATTTAGTGTGATATAAGAGAATTTAAGAATAAAAAGTGGAAGAAATAAATCTTGATTAACAGGTTAATTATTTGACAACAAACAATGTTTATTACTGTATTGCTATCATTTATATTTATTGTACTATTGTACAATTATTGTGTTTATTACGGAAAAAAGAGACAACTTATTAACCTTATACCAGGACCACCATGTTATCCGATTGTTGGAAACACACTACAATTATTGGGTTCACGAGGTAAGTTAAAATTTTTCACATAAATTAATATTCGCCAATGCACGCGTATAGATAAATACAACATTTACAAACATTTCATTTTAAGATACATATTTATCAAAATTAATAAATTTTGATTATTTTTTGAAATTTTATATATTCATATATATAGGAATAGGAAAGTTACGTATTTTGCAAAAGTAATTAATTACCGTTACAATTTTTCTATTTTAAAAAGTAACTAATTACCGTTACAAGTTACTGACTCTAAAAAGCAATTCGTCACAGTTACAATTACTGAAAAAATAACTTTAAATTACTTTTAAGTTACTTTTGAGTTACTTCTTTTTATCGGAATTTTCACTAGTACCACGTCGATACCGTTAGGGCTGCAATCAGAAATGTTACTCGACTGCCTTCGTGTATCGGTTTACCTTTGTTTTTTACTAATATTAAACAAAGTTGTGAGTGAAAGGTGAGACAGGAGAGAGGTATACATAACTGTAGATAGAGAAGGAGAAAGAGAAGAAGGAGACGTTACTTCATTTCTCACGAAAATCATCACTTTTCGACTGCTTCTATGTCTAAAACGGCTTGACCAATTTTAAATTTTTTTAGCTCAAATTATTCGTGACGATGCCGCCTTTCAGGACATATAACATCAGAATTTTTTATATTTTAGTAATTATGCACCCCCGAAGAATAGACTTTAGTGTTCAGGATAAGAGACTTGCAGTGTCTTTCAGTTTTTGAACATAGCCGGAAACACTACCACGTGTCCTGATACCAATATTTTTACTTTCTATAAAATCTTAAACATTAGAGAATTAGTTTATAAAAAAACTGAATGTTTATATATAAAGACTCATAGTATTCAAAGAAAAATGTATGTTGAATTTATATTCAGGAAATCCTAACAGTGCTATTGCGTTTTCTATCCCGGTTTTAATAAACGATAAAGAAAAATAATAACTTTTAATTTTTGTATTTTAATTTTTGAAAAATGTGCAGTAATGGTCAAAGAAGAGTAAGATTATGAAAAGGAATAGGATTATTTATACTTTTAAAATTTATATTTTATTTTTCTTTTATAATAAATATCAGAATATCAAAATATCTATTATGTCAAAATATTAAAAATCAGTTTACAAATGTATAAAAAATGTTTTCATTATTTCATACAATTTACAAATAAAATATAAAATTTATACATTAATCAATATTGTAATTGTTTTATTATTTAAAGTAATTTAATTAAAAAAAAAATTTAGAATATTCTGATTTTAAGAAAAATAAGAATATTCCGATAAAAAAAATGTCTTTTAGAATTAAATTTTTATTTAGCTTAAATTAATTCTACTTTACCATAACTTTATAAATGAGTTAACTTTTTGTTTATTGTACTTATAACCTAACTAAATTAATTTATAAGTCATTAACTTTAACTTAATTTAGTTAAAAAAATATTAATTTTTTAAAACCAGTAATTCTGAGTTTTCATAATACTCATATTCATTCATTTTTTAGAGGAACAACTTAAGAAACTATTTAACTTTTTCGAACAGTACTATCCCATCTGCAAAATTTGGATAACCTCTTTGGTCGTCGTAACTATTCGTCATCCAGATGATATAGAAGTAATAAAACATGAAAATTATTTTATTCTCATTTTATTATTAATATAAATAAAATAAAGATTAATTTATTATTATATTTTTATGTTAAGAAGATATGATTACTAGCAAGAAATGTATCAAATAAGATTGAATATTTGATACATTTCCGAAACCTACTCCGTTATATAGGTATGAGTTAAATATTTTTTAATTCAACACTGCATATAATTTCAGATAATATTAAACCGTAAGAAACATATCGAAAAGAGTGTTATTTATGATATTGGAAAACCTTGGGTCGGTAATGGTCTAGCCACTAGCGAAGGTATTATAATAACATTAATATAAATAAGAATATATACAGGGTGTCCCAGAAAGTATGCAAAAAATTACATGAACAGGTAGAGCGGACTGAACTGAGTCGAAAAGTCCTCTACCGTTTTGCAATTTTCGCAATAGTCAACGAGATAATAATTAGTAAAAATTACCGAATACGTGCGTCCGCCCGGCCTATAACGAACACGTTTATTCGGTTATCTCTTTAAAGTCTAATATCTCTTTAAATATTGCAAAATGGTATAACACTTTTCCACTCAGTTTGGTCTACTCTACCTGCTCTTGATAGGTGATTTAATCCGTAAATGACATCCTGTGTACAGGATGTTTGAGAAGTAATGAAAAGTCGCATAAGGATAGAATGGCCTAAACCGAGAAGAAAAGTCTTCTACCATCCTATAATTTTCGCAATAATTAACGAGATACTACTAGGGCAAGTCAATAAGATCTTAATAGAAAATCTGTCAGAGGACACTCGCAGTGTCACATTACTTTTTGACAAGTAGCATCTTACAGCTGTCAAATTTTGAGCGGAATTCATCGAAAGGTTTTATTTCTGTAGACGATTAAAGTGAACAACCTTCGTATTTTTGACGAAATGGAAAAAAAACGAGTTTTGTGCAGTGATCAAACATTTATATTTATATGGAAAGGTTTAACACCGTCGTGAAGTTAGCCTCCCAACACATTAAAAAAAATATAATTTATATAGTTCATTCGATTGCTCATCATTTGCACATTTATGCACATTTTTCATTTTCGTTTGCACATCTTTAGTTTAAAAGTTATTTAAAAAATAATTTTGAGGGGGCTAACTTCACACTAGCCCCCCAACATCGAGCAAATGGGTTTATAAAGGTCTTAATCGATTGATTTTTGTTTGCACATTTCGAAACAATTCGATTTTTCGTTTGCACACCTGTAGTTTAAAAGTAATTAACAATTAAAGTTTCGAGAAAGATCGACTGCGGTAAATTGCATTTAATTCAAATCGCATTTAATGGGCTCAAAATGGCATTAATCGATAGGATTTCGTTTATACATTTCAAAACTATACGATTTTTCACTTGCACACTTGTAGCTAAAAAATTATTAACAAATTAATGTCGGGGGGTCAACTTCACACTACTCATAAAATACATTTCCGGCTCAAATTCGATAGAAAGGAGTTCAATATAGCACCAATCGATAGATTTTCGTTTACACATTTCGAAACAATTCGATATGTGGATATAAAAAAATCAGTGATTTTAAAGTAATAATAGGAAAATTAAATAAAAAAATATGTTATAATCAGCATCGTTCATGTTTATTTTTTAGCCGCCAAGTGGCATTTACGGCGAAAGATATTAACTCCTACATTTCATGTCAAAATATTGCAGCAGTTTGTCCAGATTCTGATCGATGAAGGTGAAAACATGACAAATTCATTGAGAAGTACAGGAGATACTACAGTTGTAAATGACTTAATATCGTTTGTCAATGAATATACGCTGAATGCAATATGTGGTATTATATATGATATTTCTAATTATATATATAAATAATATAATAAATAAATGCTCTTCACAGTTTTTCGATTTAAAAAATTAGTAAAACACTGTACTCTAATTTTTACAATCGTATATATCCTTAAAATTTATGTACTTATATGTATAATAATATCATATGATATGTAGGTATCATGATACATTTACAAATGCGTTTACAGAAACTGCCATGGGTATTTCTTTAAAAGATCTCGGAGCGTTTCAAGAACAGTACCAAAAAGCAGTTCACCGAATGACTGAACTTTTAACTTATAGGTAATACATTCTACAATATATCAGCTTACGCATACAATCAGTTATAAATTATTTATTTAAAAATAAATATTGGTTAAAAAGTTTTTAAATACTAAAGTATCACCTACAGGAAATTAATGAATATATTTAGTGAAAAATACATTTTTATATAGCAATATAAATTAGGCGACCCATAAGTTCAGAAAATTCTGAAACATTGTAATTAATTTGTAATATAAATAAAGCAAGTAATTAATTTGTAATATAAATACATATTAATAATCTATTTTTCCAAATGTATAAATTTCTTTATACTTATCTATACGCAGATTTATAGATGTAAAAAAGATATAATTTTTGTTTAAACCTATTTCCAATATGTCTCACAAATTTGACAGTTATTTTTATAAAAATATAGAATCTATAATATTTTTTCTGCGTGTGATTTCATCAACTTAAATCGTAATATAACATAAGTAATTATAATTTTTTAGATTTTTTAGGCCATGGCTGCATTACGATTGGATATTCTCATTGACGCCAACAGGTAGAGAGCAAACGAAGATTCTGAAGATACTACACGGATTTACTGAACGAGTATGTCAAAATGTATTTAACCGTCTTGTACACTTATTATGTCACATTTATTATGTACATACACTTATTATGAGAAGTTATTATGTCTCAAAGTCCTGTGATATTCACGTATAAAAACATACGCATATATGGTACACATTGCGGGATAATAACATTAATGATAATAAATTAAATTGGATGTAGAAATAAACTAAATAAGAAAAAAGAATGAAATAATCAAGTACAAATCTTGGAGTTCTTCGATCATAAACAATATCTTTATGTAAATATATTTATATATTATAAATATATTTTTAAATATATCTATCAATCTTTAAACTGCATATTAAGCAGTACTAATCTTGACAAACACATTCTTAAATTAAATCTGAAATATCACAAATTAAACTGACAATTATTTTAATGGTAATGAAATTCATTTTTTGAAACATTTTACAGAGTGGCTGTGTATGTAGCTTGACGAAGAATAACATATTAATATTCCATTGAAAGATTCGAAGTAACTAATTCTTTCATTCACAGAAAAGATTTCTATATTTATAATGCTATATTATTCCAAGATCTAGAATAAAATAAGATCGATGTAAAGCCAACCATATTAATTTTTCAGAGTAGAATGTTTTAATCTTAAATAAAAAATACTAAAATTCAGAATAAAGTATTCTTGATGTTAGCTCTCTCACACACACGCACACACACACACACACACACATACACATATTAATTTTCTTAATAGAAAAATTTTAGTTCGACACAATATTCTTCACACACATTCAAACATTCTTATTCTATTCCTGCGGAAGAAATCTTTATTTATATTTTTCGGTAACGAAAAACTAATTTCAGGAGTTATAATTTTTGCAAATTAAATTTGCAGCTAATCGTCCAAGGTAATTGTTTTGCCGCATCACCTCAGTAAAATGCAATGAAATACCCTCGATTCGCGAGACAGATGCCTTTTCTCATTCAGATTCATTCGTTTCAAAAGTACGTGGAATGATCCTACATACATATTTATATACTACATACTTCATACAGGATTCATGTAGATATCTTCTGTTTTTTCCTGATCTTCTTGGACGACTGCAGCGTCAAGCGCGGACCTAGGATCTCCTAATTGGGATCCGAATTAAATAACCAGATATTTACTATTGTGTGTAAACGTTTGGATTTTCTCTAACAAGAAACTAATTAGAAGTTCTTATATTTCTCTAATAATTCATCAAAACTAGGATCTATGTTAGGAAAACAGAATAGAATCTTTTTAGTGTTCCTTTTTTAGGAAATCTGATAGGAATTCAACAATAAGTTACGAAAAAATAGGGAAATTTTCACACGGGAACGTATGATTGTATTTGAAAGCGCATACACAACCTCAATTTCAATTTGCACTAGTCTTCCACCGTCTTTAAAGACGGGCTATCCCTGCTCCCTCTGACCCGCACATCATACGTAATATACGTTCCATGGGATGGGTGTACATACATGCTTGGCAGTAGAAAGCCACGCAACGCGTTTATTCGGCACAATCTTTAAAAATTAATATCTTATTAACTATTACGAATATTGCAAAATGGTACAGGACTTTTCGACTCAGTTTGGTCCGTTCTACTTGCCTATGAACGTTATTAGCAGAATTATCAAACACCCTGTATTTCAAATACATATTTGTATTTAAAATTATTTTTATGTCACAGTCAGTGTTCAATGTGACCGTTTTATTCATATACTAAAGTATTTTTTAATATTTCTTACCTTTTACGAAGTTCATCAATTTTTATTGTTAAACGTAACAGCAAATAAAAAAATCGGATGAAGATAGCAACAAGTAAAAAAGTAGTAAGAAACAAGAAGCAAATAAACACTGTAGTCTAAAAGAAACGAACATCACATTGTAGATTTGGTTTTAAGTCATCAATGTCCAATCTCGACCATTTATTAATTTTTTCTCAATTTATTAATATTAACAACATGTTAATGTATTTTATATAAACAACGGAAGAAACAATAAAGTTATATTCACACGTAGATTATTGCTGAAAGAAGACTTTATCATGAACGGACCAATGGTCAATACTTAGAAGGCTTTGGTAATGATCTACCAGCAGACAGAGATGACGCCGAAAGTACTGGAAGTATGTAATTGCAATCAGAAATTATTTCTTTTTAATTTAATATTATAAATAAGTGCTCTCAAAGATCTGCACATTCCGAGCCGATTCCTGCAGGCGCCACCTCCTATCTTTCCACTACTCGATGCTCGGCTGCCTCGGCGACCTAACAGCGCCGCCCGCCCGATCGGCAGCTAAGACTGTGTTCCATTTAAAGCTCGTAACGCTCACGAGCATCGTTTTTTCTTATTTGATATTTGATAAATAATAAGAATATAAAATGATTTCGCGAGCGTTGCGAGTACCTATTATGTGGAATGTATCCTAGGTCGCCAAGGCCGCCGAGTATCGAGCGGTAGTAGGGGGATAGGAGGCAGCGCCTGCAGAAATCGGCTCGAAATATGCAGATCTTTACGAACATTATAAATCATTATATTTTACATTTTAAAATCTAAAAGTAATGTCAATTCTCACGATATAATCAATATTGTATTCTTAATAAAATTATATAAACTAGTTATGGACTCTTTTTTGTTAAAAACAAATAAACAAACATAAATTAAAGGCTATAAAGAGTCAAACGCAGTTAACAATGCAAAAAAATTTTTAATAATCTTACAAATTAATATAAGATGTTCCGTCGAACGTTTCGGTCTGCAATTTAGACCATCTTAGCGACGAAATAATAATAAACCAATACTCCATTTACTCCGAGTTAGAATGCAAGTAGTAGAATCAATATTGTATTATATAATAATAAAAATCATAGAAGAATAGAACTATTAAAACGACACTGATATATATGGATATCTCTACTTGAATTCAGCACAAAAAAAGCGGCTTGCAATGTTGGACCTTCTAATAGCAGCATCTCGTGAGGGTCTTATAACTGATTTAGACATTAGGGAGGAAGTTGATACTTTTGTATTTGCGGTATGCGTTCGTAATTTCTCTTGATTTTTACATATTATTAAATATTGTGATATAGATATTATAATATGATTTTAGGCTCATGATACTACAGCAAAGGCTATATGTTTTATTTTGTTGTTATTAGCGGAGCATAAGAGCATTCAGGTATTTATCGTAAAATGTAAACTGATTCTTTAAACTGAAAAATTAATTAACTCCCATAATTTTACAAGTTTTTCAAAATGTATCAAATTAAATATTACAAATCTCATCTATATATATATATATATATACCTTTTTTAAATATATATATTGTATATATATACATGTGTAACATACTATTCATTTTTCTATATGTCAGACATACAAAAATATGTATGTATATACATATATATACACATATGCAATTGTACGTGTAAATATTATATAATATATATTTAAAATATTCTTTTATATATTTTTTAATGTATTTTACGTAAATACGTATTTCACACAAATTTATTGAAATACTTGTAAAGTATAAATTTTAGAAAATTTCATGAAGCTTTATATCCATATAAAGAGGCTAACACATTTTTAATTAACATTATTGGTACAGGATCGTGTCAGAAATGAAATCGATACTGCTATGCTAGAGAATGGGGAGAAATGTTCTATGAAATTATTGCAACAACTATCATATTTAGATAGATGCATAAAGGAAGCTTTACGTCTATATCCTAGTGGATTTATTATATCACGTGTTTCTGGAGAAGATGTAAAATTACGTATGTATTACTAAACTTCTGTTGCATTTTTACATTTATTTTATTTTGAAATACACTACTCAATATCATAAATGACATTATTTCTCATCATTTTTTATTGACGTCAAAATAATAATATATCTAATAGCTTGATTAAAGTTATGAGATAAGAGATATAAGATGGCTTTTCAAAAGGTTTTAATAAAATTTTTTTTTAAACAAGTTTAAACTCTGATACAATATAGAAAAGATATAAAAGAAGCATAGAAGGGAGAGAGAGAACTGGAATATCATTAAATAAGAGTTAAATTCTATATATAAGAAGTAAGATTTTTGTTTTTTTAAAAGATATAAAATTTCCATTAAAAAAATTTTTTAATTTCTGTAGTTTTGATATATGTAGTTTAATAATATTATATGTTTATGTAGTATATAAAAAATATATACGTACCAACATACCATACAATACACAAAATGTTCAGAAAATAATATTTATTTTTTGACAATTTTAATAATTAGATATTATACATATTCATACATATCATTCTAATTTTAAAATGCCTAATTGAAACATCTTAATTTGGCTCTCATCGCATTATTCTAATAACACATTAATTATAATTGTACTTCAACACAATTTTACAAGAAACAATTATTTCATCTAACCACATGATATATAATAATAGACGATTTGCGTTATTTTTGTGGACTCTTGCTGATGTTCCGAAATGTGTTTCAATGCGAGTGAGACTTACATACAATTTACATTATATATTTTTATATTTTTATTTTTATACATATTTCATGTTTTTATAATGTTATAATATCCGTATATTGTTAACGATTCTCGCGACTTTTTAAACATTGATAATGACCTAACAAAGGTCGAAACGTTTGTTTTTATTAATTTTATATATTTTTATGTTTATATTAAACTTTTTATATTTTTAACAAAATGACATAATTAATTTACCATCAATATTACAATTCAACGAATTGTTAGGCTCGTAGCTCTGTTTTTTTTATTATTAATTATACATATTATTTTATATTACGTAAACGGATGAATTTTATTCTTGCGTCTTATATCTGATAGATACTCAATATTATGATTAATAAGGCTTATAATTTTGCTATAAATTTGCGCGTACACGTGCGATCATACACTTATAAAACTTATAACCCTATTTTATAATATTTTTTAGAATCATATGTAATACCTGCTGGAACAATCATGGGTATTTATATTTACGGTGTTCATATAGATCCCAATTTTTGGCCAAATCCAGAGGTATTTGATCCTGATAGATTTTTACTTGAGAATATGCGAAATCGTCACCCTTATTCGTATATACCATTCAGTGCTGGACCACGCAATTGCATCGGTATACAAGCAAAAAGTCTTTTATACTTTTTTTGAAATCAGATTGCAACATGTATTAAATTTTAGGTCAACGATTTGCTATGTTGGAGATGAAGGCGATGGTAGCTTCTTTGATACATAATTTTTACTTGGAGCCTATTGATTATTTAAAAGATCTTAAGATGCAAGCTGATATTACACTTTGTCCTACTCATCCACTTCGTATAAGATTTATTCCTGTTTGCAAAATTAATGCATGAAATATTTGAATCACATTTATGATTTAATAAACGTCGTAGAAGATAAACGTTGGAAAAATAGTAAAATGTGATGTATATTACGAGTATATTACAAGATTAGGAAATAATTCGTTACTCTTGTAGCAAAGTTTTAGTTACAGTTACTTTTTTCAATAATTGTAATTTAATTATATTTTTTGTTTACAAATAACTAATTTTATACATAGTTACTTCTATGATTACTTTATATATGTCAATTATTATATATTATTTATAAATATAAAAGTCGAGTGATTAACAGAATAAAAAATATTCAGTCAACAACAATAAGGAGGAGGTCCTCATTAGATTTGTATCGTTCATCATTGCAATAAATTTCTACCACGTACCGAATTCGATTTGCTTTTCGGCTGCAAAATGACCGTTGCAATATTTATTATTTTTTTTATCTATTAATTTAAGCATTAAAATTAAAAAACCAAACAATTACTCTAACTTTTGTTACTCAATACAAATAAAAAAAGGGCACAGAGCCAAATATGTTCAAATAAACGTACGTATAATTCAAAAATATACAAATATAAAAATTCAGACCTTTCGACACCGATCGGGTCATTTTCAATGTATAATTATAAATTAAAATATAAATTAATAGAAAAAATACAATAATTGTAAACAATTCTTCATTCAACTGCAAAAGTACGGTATATACATATCTATAATGTTATAAATTGATGTCATAAGCAATGGAACGAAACGCCATAATTATGTAATATTCTTCGCAATATATTAGATTAATTTAAAGATTTTAATAAAATTATTGATTCATTGACTATATCTCTTTATATTAGTATAATAAAGAATTTAAAAGTAAATATGCCAATTAAATAATCACGAAATGAAAAACAATTCACGATGTTTTAATTGCCATTAATATAAAGAGATATAGTCAATGAATCAATAATTTTGTTTCACATCAAGAGAACATATCGATAGGTAGTTGCATTTTTAAATGTTCAATCTGCTAAACGCAGCTTATAATTTACATCCCTAATGCTTCGAAAAACAGAAAAAAGATTAGTGTCTTATTATTATTTTCATGATTGCAGAATATCGGTCAATTGCAGTGATTATGTTCATCTAAAGAATTAGTATTGTAATTGATGTGTTATTTTATAAAGTTGTAAAGCTAATATTATCCTATGAACGCAATCAATGTTAAATTATTTCGCTTATTTCAGTAAATTATAATTTGTATCAATTATTTTTTTTAAAGCAATTTAACAAGTGATTTAGCATTACAATATATCCATTTTCGGTTTGGAAACTACGTTGCTTGCATCAAAGGGTTTCTGTTTGTTTGCTTCCACTTTTCTACTTATGAATTCTCTGCGCTATAATTTTATCGACAGAGTCAGAAAATGTATGTAGCCACGTAGTTCCCAAATCGAAAATGAATGTACTGGCGATAGTGTACGGGCGATTTCGACGATACAAGAAAAAGACAGGTACGGCCCGTCTATCAGGTTTCTCTCTACTCTGACTCTTGACAGATACGCGACAGTTCACAGTAAGCGTATCATCTTCAAGAGTATTCGCGCGGGTTGCGTGAGTGATAGAATGTTCGTTCTCATCTGAGATATCGGAAGAGAGAGGGAGAATTAAAAGTGTGCGTGTGCGTCGTCGTGTGTGTATACACGTGAGAGGGAAAGAGAGAGAGAGAGGAGAAAAATAGGGAGAGAGCGAGCGGTGCGGCAACCCGCCACTGTCTCCGGCGCCGGTGGGATGATCAAGGATATGGCGGACGATGAGGCCATACAGGCCACCAACGACGACGCCAGCGAGTGCAAGCGTTACGCTGTGCAACTCGGCTACTGGTGCGACCCATTCATCAGTCTGTTTGTCAAGCAGACCGCTCGGAAGGCGCCTGAGATCAATCGTGGTTACTACGCCAGAGTCAAGGGCATCGAGCTCTTCGTCGAGAAGTTCCTCAAGGTGAGCGTTCGGTACCTATAGCGAGCTCCACCTGTTCCCTTTGACTTTTCTTTACTTCCGCTTCCCTTCTCTCTTTTAGTTCATATTATAAACATTCTTCCTGTTCTCCGAGGACGTGCGACGTGGCCGTGGCGCGACCGAAGGGAACAGTCTCATCGTCGTTCGAATGCGATGCTCCGTTACAAGTCACTCGTTCCTCTTGCTGCACCTTCCTGCACTCTCCGCTTCTCTTCCCGCTTCTCGTTAGGGTACGAACTGACTTCACGCCCATTCTTTTCGGTCATATTTTCTGCTTTCCGTATCCTTGATACCCTATATCCGTTTACTTCCGAATTATGGAAAACCTAGAATGCATGAATCCGTTATATTGTAAGCGCGGAAGGAGCAGGAAGGTGCAGATGTGAACGAGCCCGCTCGCGGCGGGTATAACCTAGAACGCGAATCGGAAACAATCGGGATGACGAAGAGAGGAAGAGAGGGAGAGAATGAGGAAGAGAGAGTGAGTGATTGCAAGGGGGAAGAGGAGGGGGAATACAGCTGATCCGGGGTGGCAGGAACGTGCCGTGATGGAAACCTTGACCCGCCGACGGCCGAGGCCCTGTCCTAATTTCTGTGAGATTCCCCGCTTCTATATATCGTGACGACTAACCGATATATAGGTCAATGAAAAACGCGCGAAACGGCGAGACGCGTGCGGCTCTCGTGCCTCGATTTCGAGCTGGCACCGGCCGCACGCAGTGCGGAATTTGCCCGTAATAGCGGGACAAAAATATTCCGTCCGGTTACGTATAAAACGACCGCCTGCGTTTTCCGCTTCTGAGTTAACTTGGCTCGAGCGCTGCTAAACCATTGCGATATATATACACATATAATATATAGTCTTATGAGCATAAAAACGAAAAATCAATTACCTTCTGCCGTGGCAATAGAATGTAGCTTTAGCCTATTAAAAAAAATTAATGACCATAATATAACAGCGTTTTATATAAAGTAAAATGGATCCTTTTATAATTTATTATATTATGCATAATATAATAAATATCTTATTCAATATCAATTCTTATTGGACTGCTAAATATATTATTTATTTATTTATTGTATACGTTGCAATGATTTTATTTAGTACTGTAAACATGCTAAACTTACATGAATTTATTAATAATTTTTTCTAAATTAGAGCAGAGGGATTATTTTTTAAATCTTACAGCTTTTTTTTTAATAAAATTTATTATAATTATTGTATTCCCTGCCTCAAAAGAGATTCTTTTTTTAAATTTATTATATCATTGTATACATCGAAATGATTTTATTTGGAATTACAAACATTTGCACTTGTATAAATTTATTAATAATTTTTTCTAAATTGACTTAGGGCATAGGATTTATTTTTAAAATCTTATAATTTTTTTTTAGTAAGATTTATTATAACTTATGCTATTTCTTGCCCTAAAATATATCATTGCTTCTACGCTATTATAGTGACTTCTGAATTTGTAAAAATTAAATAAGAGATTAACCGAGAATGTCCATTTTTCACTTATTTAATTTTTTAATAAAAATATTTCCCAAAGTTAAAATTCCATTGTTTGATAGGCACAATTTTTAAACTTTTAGAAGAAGTAAAGACTTCGATATTATCTTCTGTTATACGTATATATTATTTAATATAATTTTAAAATAAAATTTTCAAAGAATATTAATCTTATAATTGAAAGATATTGGAAAAATGTTATTAAAATAATCTTGCTTTGTGTGTGTATTTATAAACTATAAGAAAGTGAAAGAAATTCTTTATAAAACAGAATTATAATAATCTTACTTTGTGTATATTTATAAAGCATAACAAAGTGAAAGGAAGACTTTAATCTTATAATATATAAATTACACGGTATACATGTAGTATAAGATTAGAAAGTAATCATTATATTTTTAATATTATATGTCTCATCAGTCTCTCTCAAGGATGAATTTTTTATTTACACAGCTTTCTGGTGGTAAAGGTCAGATCATAAACTTGGGCGCTGGTTTTGACACTCTTTATTGGAGACTCAGGGAGACAGGGAATAGTCCTGCGAATTTCGTGGAACTTGACTTTCCCAGCATAACTGCTAAGAAATGTTATCACATCAAAAAGCACAAGCAATTAATCGATATGTTAAACACCGAAGGTATTCTATTACTCGATCGTTATCTCGTCTCCTTTGCATATTCGCATTTTTTTAATTACACAGGCAACTGCGTACTTTTCAGACGGAGAAATCAGATTCTCAACCACAGACTTGCACGCCGCGAACTATCATCTGGTTGGTACAGATCTGCGACACATAGCGGAGCTAAATAACAAATTGGCCCAAGCCGAAGTCAATTTCAATTCACCTACTATGTTCCTCGCAGAATGTGTTCTGGTGTACGTAGACGCTAGCGCGACATCGTCACTATTGAAATGGCTAGCGAGCAAGTTTCCAAACAGTCTTTTCGTCAGCTACGAACAGGTGAACATGAAGGACAAATTCGGTCAGGTCATGTTGTCGAATCTTCGCAGCCGTGGGTGCTTATTGGCGGGCGTGGAGGATTGTGAGTCGTTAGAGACTCAACAGAGACGGTAGGTGCATCCTAGTTAATTCAGACAATGTCAAGTTCAATAGAAAATCTGAAAAACCTAGAATTTTAAAGGGAAAATTGTTTAATTATGCAAATATTTAAGTATGCAATTTTTTTTATCTTTAAAATTCGACTTTTATAGAATTGTATCGGAAAATTTGTAAAATTTTACTTTCAAATTTTAATTGACGTTCCTTGAAAATATTGCTTCTTTTTTTTTTGTTAATACAAAATTTCAACATATTCATAATCAGTTAGCAATATGGTACAATATCAAGTATTTACATTCATTATTTCGTGAAGTTTTATCGAGAAAATCAAGATAACATTAGAAGACACTACTATAGTGTCTTACTATACAACAGAAGAGAGTTGTATACTCTTACTGAAATGACTTACTGATATTGTAATGAGCTACACTTACCCTATAAATTCGCAACTCCAATTAAAGGATAGATAGTCTCGTGGAATTTCTGTCTTCTAGTAATTTACAATATGTAGTTTGTGCTATTTACATTCCAATTAATTTCAAAGTTGCATTAAATTATTATCTAAATTTATCTGTAATTTGGAGTGAAAATATCTTGAAAATCCAGGAAATATTTTAGAGAATTGTTTTATGATATTTTTCAATAAATATTCTGGATTTGATAGGTCGATAATTTAACTTGCGACTGTTGCAGATTTACTATAAACAATTGGGAGGGCACGAGCGCATGGACGATGGTGGATGTTTATGATTCACTGCCTGTAATGGATCGTAGTCGAATCGAGCACATAGAGATGCTGGACGAACGAGAACTCCTTACCCAGCTGCTCCAGCATTACTGTATCGCCGTTGCTTGGAACGGACAAACATTTAAAAATCTGTCTATAGCACAGGGTTAGGTGTCACTAACTCCTGGTGTCGCCTAATTCCTTCTCTCTGTGTTTCTCTTTGCGAGTTACTCCAGGTAATAACATCTTGTAATTTGGGCTCGATGAGCTCTCATAAGTTACGTAATACCCCGATTAACAGCAGGAGATTAACGTTTCTCAGATTGCGCTTAAGTACATCTCGAGTTAAGGCTTAAGCACAAAGCCATAACTAAGTTGTGAAATGTAAATCGTAATTGTAGATTGACCAAAACATTGTACGTTGACCTATGACTACGATTCATGTTTCAAGTTATGAACATTTTTGTGCTGAGACCTTTAATCGACAAATTGAAATAGTCTACATTACGAGAAAATAGTATCCTCTAATTAAAAATGCTGCTAATTTTTCGTCTACAGAAACATCTCGTCGTAATGGTTTTTATATAAGTTTTAGATATATTCTCCATTCTTCGTCCCTTATAAAAATTTAATATTGATATTGACCAATTAATCACTTATTTTCACTATTAAAAATATTGTTAACAATGCTTTTAATACTCAAAATAGTGATTAATAGTCAACATTCAATTTCTATATATTATTAAGGGAAGGGCCAAATAGTGTACATGGATTTTGTTGAACTGTAAATGTGTTTTGGTACTTGCATTCGAAAGTTTTGAAATGTTTAATTTGTATTGCAAACGGATATTATTCGTACGATTGCAAGCATTAAAATATGATAAATAGGGTAAAGTGTACAGTGATTGATCACTTAAGTGCTGAAATTTAATATAATCAATATAATCACTATTGAAATTATTTGAAATTTGAATTTGATACAAAGCGTTAAGTAAGGTTCAAAGAATATGTTCAAATATAAAAAACTTTGAATAAAACCACGTTTTTTATTTTTTCCAACAGTAGAATTTTATTCAGAAAATGATAGTTATTGATGACATCGATTGATCATCAAAATGAAGAAAAAAAATTCAGAAAATGAAAAAGTGATAAATTTAATGAAATGTTAAAAATTTTTTAAAAGATTTTCATTAATATAATATTTACAAATGTTCATCTACTCGGATCTTATATAAGTCTACCTCGTAAAAAACGGATTGTAAATTAAATATTTTATTCTATATGAAGTTAGTAAAGATCATTTATTACTATGTTGTGAAATTAACTGTTAATTTGACTTGAATTTTAATATATAGGCTAATTTATAGCAAATGGTCAATCACTGTATCGTGGTCAATCACTGTATATACTTTACCCTATAATATTTCTATTACGTGCGTTGTTTAATCATTCATTTAAACGCACATTTTATACAAATGTACATACACATAAAGAAAAGCGCACAAGAAATTTTCGATACAAAATTCTCCTAAATTTTGAATATTGTATAGTACCACTTACTCATGAATTAATATCAGAAATTCCAGTGATTGAGAGCGAGTGAAAAAAACGTTCTAAATTTGTTATTTTAGTGGAATAAACTATTAAATTGAAGAAATCTACTTCTTGTTACTTTGCATACTAACAACAACGCTGTACTCTCAATCACTGGAATTTCTGATTTGAATTTGGAGAGTCTACAAGAAAATTGAATTTTGATTTATCATGAATTGATACTAAACATATATAAAGTTAGATGAAATTTGTGTGTACACTACTTGATTCTCCTCTTGGAAGTGCATATTGTACGTGTCAAGTTATTTAACGAGCGCTGCAACAAGAGAAAGGGGGAGGTTGCGACGATCGAATCGCGCGAGATACGTTATGCGACTAGTTGGTATGGACGACGGCCGAACAAGTTCTAACATCCTTTCGCCAACGATATTTCCAGTCATTCTAATTTACATGCGACGTATATGAATCTAATATATAACAATCCTACCTACAAAAAATCGTTTCGTTCTTCATTACAGATTTATGTATAAAGTTTTACGGTCGTTATTATAATCATTATAGATCGCTATTGTTATATAAGGTCTTTTTAGCTCAACTTTTTATACAGTTTATCTTTCCTCTTTTTTCGTATCGGACAGACAAAGAGATAAGCTGTGTAAAAAATTCAGCTAAAATAGACAGCTATAGTCGTAGCCAAACAGTGCGACGCAATGCGCAGAGTAATTTATTATATTAGGTGTAGTAAAAAGAAATCCATTATTTTTTCAATAGATGGCTTTAGTAATCTGTATCTCGCGTTGTATAAGTGCGATCGGGTTATGCTTGATGGCGTTAGAAAGATAAGATTTCGTACTAAAAAAACTCAGACAGTTTTGTGATTGCTTGACTCAGTATTGTTTGAGCGCGCGTTAAAGATGGACATCAGCAAAAATACGCTATATTTTACAGTTTTTCTTCGATAAAAGCGAAAACGTAAGCCAGGCGGCTGAAAATGTGAATAGTGTTTATGGTCCTGATACTGTAACAGCCAATCACGCGCAATTTTGGTTTCGTCGATTCCGTTCCGGTAATTTTGATGTCAAAGATGCACCACGCTCTGGAAGGCCAATTGTCGAAAATGTCGATAAAATAATGGAAATTGTCGAGTCCGACCGTCATGTAAGCACTGTTTCGATTGCCCAGGAGCTAAACATTGCACAAAAAACCGTTTGGAACCATTTGAATAAGGCTGGATACGAAAAGAAGTTCGAGGTATGGGTGCCACACGAGTTAACGCAAAAAAATCTCATGGACCGAATTTCCATCTGCGAATCGCTGCTGAATCGCAACAAAATCGATCCATTTCTGAAGCGGATGGTGACTGGTGATGAAAAGTGAATTACTTACGATAACGTCAAGCGAAAATGATCGCGGTGAGCCGGCGCAAACGGTGGCCAAGCCAGGATTGACGATCAGGAAGGTTTTGCTGTGTGTTTGGTGGGATTGGCAGAGAATCATCTACTATGAGCTGCTCCCCTACGGCCAAACTCTTAATTCGGACCTCTACTGTCAATAATTGGACCGTCTGAAGGAAGCAATCGCCCAGAAGCGGCCAGCGTTGGCCAATAGGAGAGGAATTGTGTTCCATCAGGACAACGCAAGGCCACACACATCGATAGTGACTCGCCAGAAGCTCCGGGAGCTTGGTTGGGAGGTTCTTATGCATCCACCTTATAGTCTGGACCTGGTTAAGTGATTACCATCTATTCCTGTCTATGGCGAATATTTTGCTAGTGAAAAATTCGCCTCAAGAGAAGCTTGTGAAAATCGACTGTCTCAGTTTTTTGCCAATAGGGATGAGGGTTTCTATGAGAGAGGCATAATGAAATTACCTTCAAAATGGCAACAAGTTATCGAATAAAACGGTGCATATTTGATCTAAATCGGATTATTCTAACTATACTAAATAAAGCCTTCAATTTCATGCAAAAATAATGGATTTCTTTTTACTACACTTAATATTATGAAACATCATTAAGGATCAACAATTCAACTTATTAAGTTTTTACCAGTTTGTTTGTTATTATTCCAGTATTATAATTTTTTCATTTTAAATAAAGTTGTAGAGTCCGCGTGCTGGATGCGAAAAATAATTTACATATATTATACATTTATAAAATCGGGCAAATCTGTTCTTTTTATCTATCTTTTACGATTTCCGTATATAAATAGAAAACGCGCTCTTGCTGTGCAGATAGAAAAAGGTCTAATTAGAAAAAAGTCTAGAAAGACATAGTAGAAAGTACAGCTATAAAAGCCCGGATCTATATTTTTAATCTTTTATCACAAAAAATACAAAGCTATTTTTCTGAAAACATTCATACATAGAACTTCGATTCTATGAAAGTCTTAATACGTATTCTGATATTTAAGAAACTATGTAAAATTATTCCTTACACGCGCGCGACCCGATCCTTGTGTGTGAGTGTGTATTATATGTTAAAAATTATTGAATTATTGAGCCGTGATAAGGCGATTAGTGTTACGATGCAAGCGCTACAAGCGGTCAGTTTCGTATAAGCGCGTATCTTGTGAGCTACGCAAAGAGAAAAATATTAGATTGTCAAGAGAGTTATAAATCAGTCTTCGGTTTTTATGTATATTATTATACCTTTAAATTGAATTTAAATATTTTATGGATTGTCTACAATAAATACAACTACTTAAGCTTAAGTTTTAAGCTAAAATTGACCAATCATAGTCAATTATTCTTCTCACATTCAACTGTGATTGGTCAATTTCTTACGGCTTAAGACTCAAACTTAGATAATGACTTATTGTAAAGTCTGTTAAATTTATTAAATAACGATGATTATTTTTTAAAATAAGGATCCGTGTTCATAAACCACTTGATTATGGTCTGTTTTGCTCAATAAAACATTTCTTATGACGATTTAAAACTGTTGAGGCAGCTTGTCATGACTATGGATTGACTGATAGCGAGTTATTGGATGATCTTTATCTTGAAAAATAATTACCAATTGTAATATATTTATGTGTAAAAACCGAAAGATGATTAAGAACTTTTTCGACAACCTAATCTATATACATATATATATACATATATATATATATATACATGAGTGATTACTTAAGATAAAAAAAGCAAAAATATGTGCAACGAAAGTAAGACTTAAGTGGTACTCTTGCGAAAGGATCGACATGCGAGCACATACCACGTCATTTGCGAGCATCAGTCTGAAAAAGAATCGACGACATACATTTGTTTAATTAATTTCATTCGTTCGCTCATAGATAATGAATTTACAATCTTTGCTTGCGAATTGACTGTGAAATAAAAAAAAAAGGAAAACGCGTGCCGATGTTCTTCGATATAAAATTCGACCGTTTTTTTATGTTACAATATAAGGAGACGCTTATTGCTAGCACAGTATTCCACTTCTTTTCAACACCAATACGAACAGTATGGCTGCACTTAAGCAGATCATGTATCGATATATGTTAGTGAGGGATCGACAAAGATTTATTTTCATATTGAGGAATATCAGGGTGACGCATGTGTATTCAATCTAAGGAGAAGATATTATAAGCTTTTGAGACATTCAAATCATCCTTTTGTAGATACAAAGTGCATCTCGTTAGCAGAACTCAGACTTTACTGTCACAGGGAGATGAGACGTAATCGTCGAGATCGTTTATTCAACATCAGTAAAGGGGTATTGATTGCTTTTTTGGAGTTTGACGGCCTACTGGATTGGAATAATTTTGTAGTGGTGTTGTATCGGTACACACTCGGCGATCTCGCGTCAGATACAAACAACGGTAATTTCTCAGAGGCCTTATTCTAGAAAAATATATACAAAAATACTAGGAAAATTTATAGTATACGTAAGATCTGTTGTGAGGTGAATTTTGACTTGCTAAGATATCGAATGGTTGGAAACAGGGGAATTGAATCAGGAATGTATATTATAGTTTTCGTACACATTTTCGTATACGATATTTTTTTAAGAATACGCCTCCAGCCTCTGTATTCTGTAACTCCTTATGCAGTCGTTACGTTTATAATGACAATTGAGCAGCTTCTTTACTATATAAAATATTTGTACAACTGTCATATTATGAACACATAACGAGTTACAGAATACAGGGACTGATCTGCTAACGAGCAAGTTTCTGTACATTCTGTCTTTCTTAACTTTCTTTCCAATACTTTTAAGCGTTACGCGAGCAACAGTAACTTATTAGATTTAAGATGAGAAAATGCAAGCGGATTCCACCTGCATGGATCCGTAGGATGTACGAGTGGTTCTTCAATCTCTTGCTCCCTTCGACGCGTAAAATTATTATACCTGGAGTAACGAACACGTATAAAAAAGATAGTCAGATGTTCTATTTTTCTCAGAAGTTATAAAAATTGCAGCCATTGTTATGATATCTATCAACGTTCGTAGGTAAAAAATCTCCGCCTCTTCCTCCCTCGCCCGACATGTCGCCTTTGCACGTAGAGAAATAATCGAGACTTATCTTTCGCGTTAGTTTCGTGTCATGTGTAAGTAACATTCGAAGTAAAATTTGCTGATTTATTCGAGCGCTCGTTCATGTGTTCAAGTCAGCTTCGAGTTTGAGAATCAAAGTTCTGTGTAAAGTAAAACTCTCATGTATCTAGCGTGTCTTTCGAAATTGTAAGAATTCGAGCAAAGCACTGCCATCATGAAAATTTGAATAACATCTCAAAACTCATTGAAATTCAGTGAATTTGCAATTTTCACGTGCTCCTGTCGGCTCTTTAAGGCAAAAGAATAAAAAAGATTGTGAACCGTTATTTACATTATTTTTACAGTTTGTACAGCAAAATCTTTTTTATGAATTTTTAGAAACGTAGAATAATTCTTGATTACGACGCACGTTTAAGTTAAGTCATATTTTAATCGCACATTGCCATCATTTTAACTCTTATCATCTTTCCTGCATAATTTAAATTAAAAACAAATTAATAATTTTATATTATTTAATTTTAGTAAACAACGAATTTTTCACTTTACCAAAATTATTGCCTTAAAAAAAGCGTATTTAAATAGTCTATGTTACAAAGGAACAAATCAAGTGTTTACTTCCGATTTGTTAACGAATTTTGTTACATCGCACAGATAGAAGTATTGTAATTTGCGATTAATTAAAAGTAAGCGAATTCGTAAGAATAAAACGAGACTTCGAGAGAAATCGAGAAAGTAATTTGATTCTCAAACTTGAGTAATGCGATAATGTTATGCGGATAATGCGCGCAGCTTCATGTTTCTTCGCATCAATTTCATTATTACATTAATCTTATGTACGGATATTACATCTTGACAAAGAATAAGATATGGAATTCTATATATATGGACATTCAGTGTGCTTCCATTGTCATTATGAACTGATAAGGTATGATGGAAAAATTGTGCATCTTTATATTCGCATAATTGTGATATTGTTAAATTGTGCATTTAACGATTAGAAACAAAACGAGCGATCAGTTATTAATAATTGATTATAGCTTCCTGTTTAATACATTTCTTTCACGTATCCCGTGCTGAGGAGTTTCTTTAAGTGGGAAAAGAGAGCAGCTATGATATAATATTAAATTAAAATATTTTTAAATGTATAAGATAAGATATATATAAATATATATATGTATATACCGTAAAACGGTACACTTCTCCCATTTAAAGTCTTTCATTTAATTTATTGTGTAAAAGACGACTTAACATGGTGTGATTTATTAAAATTATTTTTATTATTTTAACGAAACTGATGGATATATAAAATGAATAAACAGCATCTAAGAAAATAAACTTCAAATAGATCACATTATTTGTATAGCTATACATCTGGAGTTGCCGTTTCGTGTAAAGAGATACAAAGAGATATTAAAAATATAATAATTTTCTATATATACTTTTAAATATACCTTATGTTTTATACCTTATTAAGTTTAATTTTTGCATTGTTAATTGCTTATTTCGTTCGTAGTTTCCGCGGAAAATATATACAGTCAATCATAAAGTAACTTTATATTTGTACTATTATTCATAAGTTTTTCTATAAATTACAAAGTTGAAATATAAGAAAGAATTCTCTTTTTTCATCACATGGAAAATGATTTGTTATTTCTAACGTGATAAAACTCGGGTAAATTCAAAACTGCACAAGTCATGTACTATAAACTAAATTTAGATCGAGTCTTAAAAGCCTAATGGATTCAGTTGTACGCACCCACCGACATCGCACATATTCTTCGAAATTTTATTTAATTTACTAAAGATATCTAATTGTTTGGCGGAACTGACTTGCTGTAGATTATGTGCAGCGCGGTTTGACGCCTGTAACAACAAAACGCATTAAGTAATCGCGTTTAGGAATTAAAAAATAAATTGTATATTTACATTATATAATAGCAAAATCAAATAATATTTATAACGCAATAATTTAGAAAATAAGTTAATTATTCCTGATCAATTATCTCAAAAATATATTTTTTATGATAGATCAACTTAGATACAGATATCTACTTGTATATTCATTCATTAATTTAGAAAATTAAAAATGATTATAATGAATACTTGTTGATCCTACTAAGATTTTAATAAAGAATGATATAAATATATCCATACCTCCATGCACCAAGTTTGTGCCATTAATAATTCGTGCTCTGCACTAGGTAGATTCTTATTCAACGACATAGTTGCCCTGCTTAGAACAACCGCCATTGTATATGTATCTAAAGCAGCTTGCGCGATCCTATTGAGGATAAATTGTTCGTCTACAATGCCTCGTCCGTATTTGATAAGAGAAGACTCAATTACTTGACCAAAATTTTCCACGCTCTGCAATTATAATTTTTTAAATACAGATTCATTTATATTAAATTCCAGGTTACGTTTGAATTATTATTTTCACCTTCGAACAAAGAGCGGCGCTTTCCGCCAATTTCGGATGTATCAAATCCCCAAACGTAGGCGGTGATTTCAAACCAATTGCTCTAGTTGCACGTTTAGCGGCTTCCTCGACAATCAATCCTAAATTCGCGGATGGATTCTTGAAAGCTTTTTGTAGCTCCTTCAAATGACTTCCAGCATATTGAATACCAGTAAGCGCCACGAACAAACGCAAAATATCGTTCGTCCCTTCAAAAATTGGGAATATGCGCAAATCGCGCATTACACGTTCTAGACCGGTCTCACACATGAAACCCATCCCTCCTAAAATTTGAATAGCTTCATTGCACACCCACCACGCGGACTCAGATGCGAAACACTGCAATGAAAAAGAATTTGTAGCGTGTAAAATACAAATAATAAGTTCGGAGTGTTTTTTATACAAAAGTTATGCGTTTCGCGGATTATCTCTATATCCAGATTCGTTATTAAAATACCAAATCCGTATTATTATCATATACATCATTATATTTATCTAAAAGGGATATATTAGAATGTTACGAAAACAAGTTATTCAAACAGAATTACCTTCGAAATAGCGGCTTCCAGATGATAATCTTGGCTTCCGCAATCCATGTTACCAGAAATCATATACGCAAGGGATTGAGTGACGTAGTGCAATATAGACATGCGCCCCAATTTTTCTTGTATTGTGCCATAATTATCCAATGTACGACCAAACTGCAGGCGTTGCGTTGCATGATTTACGGCTTTGTTGATACAGTAGCGCATGGTGCCAGAAAGACACGCAGACATACCGAATCTACCATTATTTAGGATGTTCATAGCAACCTATAATCAAATAAAACGAACGTATAGTTCGAATAACATTCAAACCCAAGTAAATAATTCATGCAAAAGAATTAAAAATTTTTATTAAATATAATATATTGTATTCCGCAATGTATTAGATACAAGTAGATTATATTAAACACATTTGTTGATTTACTTAGCGATACTTATGACATATAAAGACGAGAAGAAAGTTTTTTTTTTTTAATTTTACCTTAAAACCTTCACCCTCCTTGCCGAGAACATTCTCTAGTGGGATCTTAACATCCTCGAAGAAAAGCGAAGTCGTGTTGCTACACTTGATGCCCATTTTTTTCTCGGGCGCTCCACTGGTAACACCACCAAATCCTCTCTCCACAATAAAAGCGGTTATTTTGTCTTTCGTTTCGCCTGTTTTCGGATCCGTGATAGGCGTTTGAGCGAACACGGTCATGACATCGGCAATGCCACCATTTGAAATCCATATCTTGTTGCCGTTGAGAACATAGTGCGATCCGTCCTCGGATTTAATAGCACGTGAACGTATTGAATTGGCGTCGGAACCGGAAGTCGGTTCCGTCAAACAGAAGGCAGCGTATTTGCCGTTGCTTACTTGAGGTAGGTACTTGGTCTTCTGTTCCGGTGTGCCGTACAAAAGTATACCCTGCAAAATAACAAAAAAATATAAGACTTATTTCGTACATATTAAGTAAAATAAAATTAATAAACAAGCATAAGAGATAAAATTAGTAAAGAAATGGAATGCTATATTTAATAAAAAAAATAGTAACGATATAATGAGACATTTTAACATATTTAGTTATCTTCAGTAATAATCATAACGAAATCGTTGAGACGCAAAAATTAAAATAAACTTACACAATTGATGGAAATATTGACAAATCAATTAAAAAATCAATTAGAATATTAAAAGATGCAATAACATTATCATGGATATCAGCACTATTAGAAAAACCGTCAAAAACGAGTAAAAAGTAAAATCGTGAGAAGTTTTACTTTGAATCCAATACTCTGATGTGCACCCAGTGTGATACCGATACCCAAATCGTGATAACCGCATATCTCAACGATTCGCGTGTACTGAGTATTCGTTAATCCCAATCCGCCAAATTCCGTGGGAACTTGCAGAGAGAACGCTCCCATATCCCAGAGAGCAGCTGCCGTTTTCTCATCCACGTACGCGTTTTGATCGTTTTTAACAGCATCATTTACTTCCTGAAAGAGAAAAAAATATGTTTGATAAAAGCTAGCCCTGTACATCAACTTTTGTGCTTTTTAATAGTTACCTCGTAGAACTTTTCCACGGGATCAATAAGCATTCTTATCGTATCAGTTTGCTCCTGAGTCATAGGTTCTGGGTACGGGCATACTTGGCTCAGCTGCAATTGGCCACGAAAAAGATTCATGGTAAAAGACTGAGACTCCTTCATGATGGCATTTTCTCGTGGCTTATCTTCCTTGACCTTTACTGCCGCTTGTGTAGCCAAACATCTGTGTGTGTATAATTTCAGTAATCATTAAACAATGTCTATAATTAAAATTGAAATAATTTACTTGATAATAAGTATAATAGAGTCAAGATATGTTCTCTCTACATATTATATATTATATTATTTTACATTTTGTGCAAGAGAGCACATGAAAATTGTTTCTAGAATAATTTTCGACCTTAAGCAACTCTGCCATTAAAATATTTCCTTCAGATCTGATTTTTACGATATAATAAGACATCTTTTTTAATATATGGTATATCGAGGAAAAGATGTCTTATTATGTCCCGGAAGTTTCTTCCAATCACTCTTATGTAGATAGAGCGGACTAAACTGAGTTGAAAAGTTTTGTATCATTTTGTAAATTTCGCAATGGTTAATGAGATATTAATTTTTAAAAATAGCCGAATATATATATTGGTCTTCAATAATGTTTTTCTTAAATACTATCAACTTTACAGAAAAGTAGCGAGAGATAAAAATTGTTTATTTTTTTCTCATAAAGTTCTGAACATTTTTTCAGAATTTTTCCAGAATTTTTGAATACTGTATTTCTTATGTTGGTAAAAATAGTTGTCAATAAAAAAATGCAGTACTAAAAAGTTAACAAAAAATTCTGAAAAAATTTTTACAGTTCTATGAGAAGAAGATATACAATTTTTGTCCCTTGTAGTTTTTTTGTAAAGTTGATAGCATTTGAGAAAAAAATTATTAAAGACCAATATATATTCGGCTATCTTTAAAAATTAATATCTTGTTAACCATTGCGAAACTTGCAAAGTGGTAGAGAACTTTTCGACTCAGTTTAGTCCGTTCTATCTACACAAAAGCGATTAGAAGAAATTTCTGAGACATCCTGTATATAATTTTATTAAAATTAGAGAACAAATCAAAAGAGTTGAGTTTAATTTTTGTTTTTATGACTTTGGATCAGTTTCAAGTATTAGAATCTAATAACAGTCACTTAGCACATCTTCATCCTAATATTCTTGATAAAATTTCTTAATTATTATCACATCCTGGTGGAAACGTTCACCATGCTTATTACTTGTCACATTCAAGTTATTTGAGAAGAAATATTATATTTTTCAATTAAAACATGATATAAAATAGTCTCAAAAAATCGATTTGAATTTTTCTAACAAATTCGACCTCAGCATTAAAAACTCGTAAACTAGTGTTATTAGAATATTGATATTGTTTATATATCGTGTGAAGTCATCTTATAAATAAATATATTACAATCTTATTATCTTTATTTATAAGATAATGTCGTCTTTCAATTTTTTTTTTTTTTTTGATAAAATAATAGATATTTATTTTTTCCTGTATTATTATACACATATTGATTCTTGTACTTTTTATTTAATTTGATATTTCTTTCATTATGCAATGTTAAGTTGGTATTCAGTCCTCAGTCAATACCAACCAAAGATCATCAATTGCATATTACATTTATATTTTTAAGTGTGAAATATTGATGTTATATTATTTTTGGTTGGAGTTTCGATTAGGTCGGTTGTTATTATATATATATAACCATTTTATGCTAATTTTTCTTCTTATTCTTATGGCTATAAAATGTTAATACAAAGAAAAATCTTCAATTATATAGCACTTTAAAATTATCCTTAATATTATTTAAATACAAGAATCGACTACACTGAGAAAAAATTCTGATTGAAAATAAACGAACCAGAAAATTCTGATCATATCAATCAGATTTCTGATTATTTTAATTAAAATTATAATAAATTCTAGAAAATTCTAATTTGTGTCCATTTCCAACCAGAATTCCGATTAATGTAACCAGATTCTTTTTCCATTGTGTTATAATATATTGGCTAGAATGGACTACACATTTCAATCTCCCATTTTTAGATGTTCAGAATCTATGAACTTAGGACCCGATGGAATCACCGATAACACACGGATTGAGCATGTAAATAACTGCATGTTGATACATATACATAAACACATACAGAACATAATACCTAGCATTTACGTATGCAACATGCTTGACAAGTCTCATATTTACTGAGCACAGTCCAAAGTCCACGCAACGTCAAACTGCGTCAAACGCACACGTTTGAAACTAAAAATATCAACACGCAATTGCAAATTGATGTACATACAAATTAATCTTTTATAAATTAATCGAGATCGAAGTTAAATATAACACATATACATGCCGTAAATTGCGACTTAATTAGTTAAAAATCAAGTTATTTATTCTATATAACATGTTACGTGCACAACAATTGCGTTGCATACGATCCAAATTTGATCGGCAATTTAGATTTTTATTTAAAAAAATGAATATGATTTTCTAATTGAAAATGTACTCCAATTGACAACAAGTTGCTCGAGTCAAATGAATAACAATGACATTTCACCTGGACGTGACGTTGAATCCTAAGGGCGTTTCAATGGCCTTGTTGATATTTTTGACAGTTGATGAAAAAACCTTGGCGATGCGAAGCATTGTTGTAAATATGACTATTTGCACTAACAAAGATTACAAATGGAAAGATAATTATTATTATGCTTTAAGATGTAACAGTACAAACTACTTGGGAACACTAACACCACCGCACCACCGTCTGCTGTAATAATAAAAGATGCGCCACTGTTCCCCACCACTACTTCTGTCCGACATCTTGTACCCAACTTCTCACCTAGCCCATGATGGCTGTGTTCCACTTATGCCCATTTCCACCAATGTAGATCAACTTTAGGGCCTCTTTCACCAACGCCGATTAACTTAAATCGACGATTAGTCCATTGGAATTGACCAATCGCGTCTGTCGTCAAAACTAAATGATAAATGCGATTGGTCAATTCCAATGGACTAATCGTCGATTAAGTTAATCGGCATTGGTGAAAGAGGCCCTAGAGTTAATCTACATTGATGGAAACGGGCATTAAGGGCCCAGACACAAGCTTTTGCATAACGCATAACGCATAGCGCATAAGAGAATCAGCCAATCAAAGTTCTTTTTTTCCGTAAAGTGGAAGGAAAGGAGGGATTCAGATTGGTTGATTCTCTTATGCACTGTATATTATGCGTTTGCAAAAGTCTGTGCTCCCCGCTTTAATCAGCTGTGCTGATCGGTGAAACAGATATTAGATGATACTACTTATATCATGGATGATACGAAGTAATTAGTGATATCAGACATCAGATAAGAGTTGAATTTAAGAATATTAGTGAGATGAGATAATATCGTGATGTGAGAAACCGTGAGTAATCTCAAGCACGGTTGGAACGGTACCTAAAACTCCGAATAACGTAAATATCCCATATAGCTATGGGTTGAATGTCGAAAAGTAAATGCAACGATAATTGGAAGTAGATGGAAAACGTAAACACATGTGATACGATTAGGTTAGGTTATATAATACAATCGAGAATTATACTATAATCTTCTTGCATTGCGTAATAGTTAATTATTTATTAGATTAAGATATGAAAATTGGTATATTTGTATATAGATATAAATTTATGTACATTAATGTAAAAGTGTATAATATATAAATAATAAATTACAGGTATAATACATATTTATGATACATAGAAATATGGATAAAAATACAATATGAATATAATATATAAGTAATAAGAAAAAGAATTATAGATATAGATTTAAAGCTGAATATTCATTTATTTTACTTGATAAAATTATGAATATATATAAATCCTTTGGCATACTTAAATACTTTTATTTTTTCAGATAGAGAATACTTAGTTCAAAATGCAATATCCACAAATATCGTTAGATGGAGATAAAGTACATTTAGAATTAGAAAAATTGAAGACTTTTCTTCTCGGATGTATCTATTGTTCCTAAAAATTATTCTAATATGAATGATATAACATCGAGAAAGGTTTCATTGCATTCAGTACTGAGACTCAAGGATAGTGATGTTAAAGAATTTTTTTGCGGTTGGGGCGCTGCTGTCATCAACGTCTCTGTCACTTTTCCAATTAATAAAATCATATTTAGACAGGTATGTTCATATAGTGTAAACAACATCCCCGGTAGAATCTAAAAATCAATATCATAAAGATATATAATTGCGATCTTATTTATTATTTATATAAGTTTACTTATAAATGATAAATAAAGATCTTTTCTATTTCTGTATGGAAACTTTCTTTCCTACTTTTATCAAATATTAAACCTATCTATTTCATTTCTAAAAGCGTATATAGTTCAGCTACAGAAAACAAATCTATGATAAAGTCTAAGGCTAATTCTACAATGTACTTTTTGTTTCCTGTTTCTTGCTGTTTGTCTCTTAGCTTTTTGATCAAAAAAGCAAGAGATAAACAATAAGAAACAGGAAACAAAAAGTACATTGTAGAATTAACCTTATGGATTATCATTAGGTTTTTTGTTTATTGTTACATTGGACTGAACTTTCCTTCTTATTTTTGCCAAATATAAAAGTATCTATTTCATTTTAAATACGAAGAACTCTTTTAACTCAGCTACAAAAGAGTGAACCTAATATTCTATCTTGTGAGATTAACAAATACAATTTTTAAATATTAAAATAAACATGATTTGTGTTATAATATACAGATTTTGGAAGGAGTACCTGTGGGTACTGCGGTTGGGCAGATGTCACGAGAGGGAATACATTTGCTGTATCGTGGAATTTTACCGCCTCTATGCCAAAAAACTCTGTCCCTCAGTCTGATGTTCAGCATATACGAAGGATGCAAGCTGAGGCTCTGTCTGTTAACTGGAAACGATGTGCTGTCTAAAATATTAGCAGCGAATATAGCTGGTACAATGGAAGCTCTCCTTATGCCGTTTGAAAGAATACAAACATTGCTACAGGATTGGCGATACCACGAAAAGTTCAAAAATACTTCCCACGCATTCAGGTATCTGTTGTCAAATCATGGAATAACTGAGCTTTATCGCGGTGTGGTTCCTATCATATACAGAAACGGCTTATCCAATTTGATGTTTTTCACTCTGCGGGATCAATCAAAGGTACTGCTGGGCGAGAAGGAGTCGTTGCTGACAAACTTTGTCAGTGGCGCCCTGATCGGAGGCTTCACCAGTACGGTGTTTTATCCAATGAATGTAATCAAGATACACATGCAGTCGAAGATAGGTGGCGACTATGAGAGATTTATGGCTGTGACTCGCGAGGTGTACGTTTCCAGGAATCAAAGTTTGACTTCTTTTTACAAGGGTGTGCACTTGAACTACATGAGGTCCTTTATTAGTTGGGGAGTGATTAATGCATCATACGACTTCTTAAAGAAAATTATTTTCTAGATTGTTTAGTAGGAGACAACTGTGACGATTTTTAAATTTATTTATAGAAGATATACATTTCACACCCTGCTATACATTAGCTATTTTGAGTGATAATAGGAAATTATACCTTTGTTTTTAAAGAGACATGCTGAATGTATGTACATGTGTGTATTACAATCGCACATCCTTTCTACTAGAATTATGCAAGAATATATGCAAAAAGGAATCTATTATGAATGTATAGAAACTTTGCATAACGTTTTAATGAATATTTGTGAATAACGTCAGCTGATGACTTGTTCTTTTTTTTAATAAATAAGGGTAATCAAGAATAAATTTGAAACAATACATTATTAAATTTTTTTTATTGTTTGTACAGTTTATGTAGATAGGTATAATTAAAATTTTATAAAGATCTTTAATAATTTGCTATTCCGCCTTTATGGATATATTTAAAAGTTTATGTACATGAATATATTAACTCTTCAAACATGTGCCATTAAGGAGGCAAAGAAAAATATTAAATGAATAAATTTAGATATGCAATTTGTCTTTAGTTATCATGAGCTAATTAATTCTATTTTTTAATTATTTATGTTTATTACATAAATTATATATATTTATATTATACTGAAATACTTTTGGAAGTTTTTTAAAATTCAGAATACACCTGCTAACGTATTTTGCAATCAAATGTCACGATTTATAATAATACGTGATACAATATCTTGTCATAAAATGATTTGAAATAATTAAAAAAGATAAGAAAAAATGTTTGATATTACTATAAATTATTTATATGTGATATTACATTATGTAAAAATATGTCAAAGACTTTTTCTTATACAGGATATTCGAAATTTAAATGTTAAAACTTCGAGAACGTATAGAGGATCGATAAATTAAGAAAAAGTCTCGTGGAGATATACTCGTTTTTTTTAGTTTTGTATTTTGCGTGATTTTTTTCAAAATGAAGCAAAAACGAATATATTTCTACAGACTTTTTTTCTTAATTTATCAATCCCTTAATTGCCTTACACACTCCCGAAGTTTTGACATTTAAATTCCGGATATCTTATACATAATGATGTAAAGACGAAAATCAAAGAGAAATATATATGTACATATAATTCATTATACATATTATGTACATATAATTTTATTATTTAAATATAATACTATTCTTTTATACATTGATTTTGTATTATATGTATAGCGATGATACTTTTATTTTGAAATATATGTGTGGAGACATTTAAAATGTAGGTACAATTCAATCAATGAGATATAATAAGTGAAACAATAAATAAATTGTATCATTTAATGAATCGATTTATAGGAAGTAGAAATAGATATTGAGTGTATATTAGATGTTAATATATTGTATACAAAACGTGTGCAAATGTCAAATTAATACTAAGGACAATATAATTTTGGTATTGGTTATAGTGTTGTATTTATTGTATTCTATACAGGGTTACAGTGTTGTATTCTATACAGAGCGATCTATAAGTTCAACTCAGGACATTATTGATTAGATTTTTGAACATTTTGAAAGAATTCCTTAACTGGATAAAATTTAACTTTGTTGGGAACAATGGTGGACACATACAGACACATTGAGTAGATTATACAAGTAAAAGCTTTCGTTTTGCCTTGTTTATTTTTTTTTCTACAATGTTGAACTTGTGGGACATTAGCCTATTGATACGCCCACGTATGTTTAACTTTTCCATCATAACATACTGCTGGGACTTCAGTCAGGGCTTGTTAAAGACCCGACTTCAAGTCTTTTTTTATTTTTAATACTATAATAGAACTTCCCAAATAGGACAAATCAGCATAATGTCAAAATTATATCAAAATGACTTCAAAATTATTATCAAATCATTAATTTTATTGTTATTTAACGTTATCGTGACTTATCTTAACTCTACCGTGTCTCCTGATTTGTTCTGCATGGATTTTTCTTGTTTTTATCAAATATTAAATATATCTATTTCACTTTAAGTTTCATAAGTGTATACCGATTTAGCTATAAAAAACAGACCTCTGGTCTCTTCAGAACACTCAGAACAGCATTCGTAATATAATCTTATATTCAAGATTATATTAAAGATTAGTATAATTTTGAAACAGAGCATTATTCGATTTTGAACTGATAGATTTTTAATCTAAAATTAGAGTTAAGATTTTAAATTAAAGATCGGATTATGAATAATTTTGAACCTTTTTTTCTTCTCAGAATAATTTAAATCGAAAACCTCCATCGATGATTGATTCAACCGACAGAATCGCTTGAGGCAAAATTTCTAACTATATAATTCATCATCCGATTAATCCACTATTTCATGTATTAAACGAACGTTATAATAATTTTATTAACGTTAACGAAATAATACAGGACATTACTCGATAAATTAATCGTCGATTAAGTTAGTCGGGAGTTTGATTAAAGTCGCCTTCATGAATTTAATTCCTATCTAAAATCGGAGGCTCCATGTTTTAGGTGTAGAAGTTACACATCCCAAGATATGCTAATCGGAGCATTGTACAGAAGGCCATACATAATAAAACGTGTTCGTAATTAAAAACCAAGTTATCTCGCGGAATTTAATTGTCTCGAAATATCCTCCTGCGCGCGCGGTCTGGACCCTTGGGGGGCAGCGCAGTGACGGATTTACACATTTTTGCACCCTAGGCCCTATACTTTTTGGCGTCCCTTTTAGACGAATTAACAATAATAAAAAATGTTAATTACCGTCAGGGCATGAAGAAAGGCAGTATTTGTAAGACAATTATATCTTGTGTTTTATATTTCAGCGCATGAAAATTTTTTGTATTTCATATTTTATGATAATATATAAATATTTTGCATCGTATTTTGTATTTAAAATATTAAAATCGACAATTAATCTTACTATTTATATTACGAAATACATAAATCTTTTATTTTTCAATTTTAAATATACAATATGTAATACTTCGATATGTGTGCATTGCTTAAGTACAAAATATAAAATACACTTGTATTGCAAAGCTGTGTTTTAAATAATAAAGTATTTCAAATACACGTCCAGCTCTGGCTATCGTCAAAAAATATCACTTTTTCACCAAAGCGTCAAGATTTTATTTTTATGCCCCCAAGTATTATACACTTCAAATACAAAATTAACTTTGATTTTGGTTACTAAAAAGATAGTATCCCCCTAGTTCCTAGGGCCTCCGTTTAAATCCGCCACTGAAGTAGTGGAGCTACGGGGGGTCGCGATTCCTCGCATGATCCGCGCCTGAGTGAGCGCCCAGGGGCGGCTCCAGAAATTTGTCAAGGAGGGGCATTGACGCACCGTAAGCAAAATTTTTTACTCCCGACTGCTACCAACCGAAGGTTGTTTCAGGTCAAATGTAAAATATAAAATATTTAAATTACTACTGGGATATTATGTATTGAAAAAGTACCATGTAAATGTATAATTCATGAAACGTTTTATTCTCAAATTATATAAACAAAAAGAACAATAATATAACATTGTATAGTAAAATATCTAATTTACTTCGTGACAAACCTATTTAACACTGCTTCCTTATCAATCTCCACGTCTACTTTTTGGAATATATAAATAGAAATCTATATTTTTTATATTTAGGAGTTTCTCCTAAAATAAAAAAATATCTTGGAATATCACAATTGTGATTAAGCATTGATGAAATGTTAAAAGTATATAAGTACCTACAATATTTTGTTAGAAAATTTTTAAAAAAGAAAATTCTCCAGCCTCAATTAACTCATGGCTCCCATGACTCCCCCTTGGATCCGCCAGTGCGAGCGCCGCTTATGCGCGGTGCCCCGAGTAAATCGATGCGCACCGCGGACTTTCGGTCAGCCAGCCAGTCCGCGCGATACGTGTATGCGCCGGTCGACACTGTTCGACACTTGCATCCGTAATTACCTATTCTGGCTCGTTGATGCCCGCTGTGCTCTCCGGAGGCACCCCGTCGCGTCACGTCGTGTCTCGTCTTCTTCAGGAACTCCAGATCGCACGCTCGCTTTTCGCCCATCAAGAACAGACTCAGCCGACCGCGTCGCTTAGGTAGAACTGTGAAACGTTCCAAGAGCAGAGCCGACGATCTCTTGCCCTGTCCTGCAGACATCGGAATCATTTGACTCCGCTCGCGTCGTCGTCGTTGTCGGAGCGACGAGGCGCTTGTCTCAAGTTCGGTCGCGACAGGTCGAGGGATCGAAACCGGCGGCGTTCCCGATTCCGGTGAGTTCAGTAGGACACGCGAGAAACGACCCTGACGGAGCACCGGCACTTCGGAGCGGGTCTTCTCGAGGCAGGGGAACGTAAATTATTTTTTATAAGTTCTCGACGAAGCCTGCCGAGTGTTTTACACACTCGTGCATTGACTTTGCATTTGTATTTCTCTGCGGCTATCCTGCGGAAGTTATATTTCGTCTATTATATTGGCCGTTTTTCGCCTTCGATCGTGAGCTCGGCAAGTTGCCAATCGAAGAAGGAGATAGAGAAGCGCGAAAAGCGTTCACGAAAGATAAGGATCTTGTCGCGAATACAGCAACATGTAAATTTTCCTATAAGCGAAAAGCGTAGCTTTTTCTAGCAAACAGGTTGACATTATTTGTCTTCATTCTGATATCATTTTGACATTAAAGACATGACGTTAAAAAATCTATAGTAATCATTTTGGGACCATTTTGACGTCATTTCGACTTGAGAATAAGTTCTGCTTGAGCATAAGTCATTTTAACGTTAAACATCAACATGATGTCATGGCTCCAAAATGACTACTAAAAGTCGCGCTTTCCGGTCATTCACGATTCATTTTAACGTTGTGTTCACGATGCCACCCTTACACAGTACACTTCATCCAAAGGATATTCTGGAACGATCTTTAAACATCTTTAGGACGTCTCGTGGAAGTCTGTGCTGTATGAGTAGAAATCGCTCCGAGATCTCGAACGGAGACAGAATTGATTAGTCGCACCTGTCAATTGATTCAACTGTTCAGA